TTAGAAGTGCGCTCCCCCAGAATACAAAGGGGCTTCAAAAAGTTCATGGAAAAATGGAGTTGTCAGATCATGGCATTTCCCCCACAAACTTTTCGAAGCCCCCTTATAATGTAAAGATGACTCACCTCTTACGGATGGCCAAGACCTCCTATGTAAAGATGTTTCTCTTTGGGAGACTGGATCCTAAGCTGGGGGTGTGGTGACATCTCCAACGGACTCCTGGGGCCCTGGGGTGGAGAAAAAGAACCGAAAAGGGAGCTAACTGCCCAAGCCCTGCTGTGGCTGACTGGCTGAGAGGACTGAGCTGGCTGCATGACCTTGAGAATGTCCGCAAAGGATACTCACCTGTCATCAAATGGTAGAGCTAGATAGCAATCTCAAACTCTATCTGTGTGTGTGTGTGGGGGGGGGGTCATGTGTGTGTGAGTTCCTGCCAACACATTAGAGTACATGAAATCTTATCCTGAGACCCTCTGCTGTTATTTTGTTTTTTAAATATTGTCTCTGGAGCTTCACCTCCAGGGTCAGCACTTTGGTAGCTGGTGTGAGACATCTGGGCCTTGTCTACACTCTCACCAGAAATGCTTAAAAATGTTCTCTTCTTCTGAGAAAACGTTAATTTGATACCAATAGACTCAAAGTGAAATGTTAACTTTTAAAACAAAGACATTTTGATGTAATGGAAATTTACCATTGGTAGTTTGTTACTACACAATTAACTTTTGACTTAAATCGATATACTAGTTTATGTCCCTTAGTGGTATTGATAATAATAATGTCAACATCTTTGTGGCTTGGGGAAATAACTACCCATTTACCTTATTAATGTTAGAATGTACACGACTAGCAATGTCTGAGAATATTTGTGTTTTGCCAATGTTGGATCTAATTTTCCTGAGGTGGCAGGAGGCGGGGAATTCACAAATGGTTACTACTCTGATAATACTCTTTGGCCCTTGGTTAGACCAGGAGAACCAGTGGGACCTGGCTTCCCACACAGATCTCTGTTTGAATCCTAGTTCTGCCCCATAGGCCATTAGCTAGTCAATCTCTCTGACCATATCCACAAATAAGAGTAAGAATGCCTGTGTTGCAGAGTTGTTAAGAGGGTACAGATATTGTCATCTGAAATCTATACCTAGAGCAGTATAGTTACATGCGCCACCCTGTGTCTCCCAACTCTGCCCTGGCAGTGCCAAAGGAGCCATAGATAATATATAAATGAACACACCTGGCTGTGTTCCAACAAAACTATATTTATGTAGACTGAAATATGAATTTCATAAAACTTTCATGTGTCACAAAATAGAATTCTTTTAAAAATTGATCCCCAGACTATCTAATAGTATAAAACCTATTCGTAGCTCAATGACCATACAAGTAGCAAGCCAGATTTGACCAGTGGTCCGTAGTTTGCCAACCCCTGCCCTAAGGAATGGAGGGGCGCTGGTGGCAGGGTAGGTTATGCACTGGGTTGTGAACCTCAAGATCAGCAGCTGAAACTACCAATCGCTCTGCGGGAGAAAGGTGAGGCTTTCTACTCCCAGAAAGATTCAGTCTTGGAAACCAACAGGGGCAGTTCTATTCTGTCCTATAGGGTCACCGTGAGTTAGAATCAACTTGATCACAGTGAGTTTTTTTGGCTCTAGAGAATGCTTGGTAGATAGTCAATGCTCAGTAAATGGTGATTTTATATTAAACTTATACGCGAGGACGACTCTCCTTGCAGTGCAAGTAACACATAAGGTGGACAAAGGCCACCAAAGTGTGAATACAAAAGTCATGCTCAATGTTTTGGGCATCATTTGTTATTTCTGCTTTAGGGCGCTTTGTTGAAGAGCATAGCAATCCCATTTTACTCCAGGGAAACGTGCAGCTCCCAGCAACCAGTGGCCCTGTCCACTTCCTCGTTATGGTTAAATTCTTCATCACTCAGCGCTGCTTTTTAACACACAAAGCTCCTTAGCTGGAAACAGGGAGGAAAGTGGTTTTTACCCTGCTGGCTGTGCTGTGGGAGGCATTGCTGATGTGACTGGAAGGCTTGGGGGACATCCAAGGGCTTTGAAAGGAAAAGGCCTGGGTCCTAGTAAAGAGAATAACTAACAAGTGAACGCTATTTACAACATTCTGCTCACTTTTGATACTTGTAGATGCTTTCAACCTTTAAAATCACATACTAAAGAGCTCAGAGTCTAGACTCAAGTCCCAGTCAATGAACCTCTCTGATGTTAGTTTCCTATTCTGTAAAATGGGTATACAAATAGTACCTATTGTCTCTGTGTGTGTGTGTGTGTGTGTGTGTGTGTTGTGAACGCTAGAGGAAATAATACTTTGTGACCCAAATGGGTAAGCACTGGTCTACTAACTGGAGGCAGGCCTGGCTGGCCATGTGCTTCTAGAAGCTCCCAGCCTCTAGAACCCTTTGGAGCAATTCTACTCACACCTGGAGAGTCAGCGTCAGCTCTGTGGCTACCAAAAAAAGAACAGCATTTAGGAGATAAGCAGGGTGTAAGCGTTCCTTCTTTGGATTACACAGTTGGCAGAAATGTGAACAAAAACTGCCAGCCTGACATTTTTGCGATAGCATAGTTTGAGTTTTACAAGACTTCTGGATGTATAAAGGACTAGTTTTTTTAAAACAATATTTTTATTGACATATCTTATTCATTCCAATATATCCCTTCCTTTCCCATACAGTTCTGTTGTTCAATCCCATCAGGTGGGGATATTTAATCACCAATGCTATCAGCGCCCCTCTCCCGCCCCCCCTTTCACTTCCCATACCCTCAGGGAGCCCTAACTCCTGTCAGTGTCTCTAAGGGGTCCTCCCTCTATCTTGACTACCAATTTACCAAGCGATCTTAAATGAACAAATGAACATATGCAAGTCTGACGTGACCAATGAAGTATATCACATATGGACCACAATAGTAAGGAGAGGAAATCTTAAAGAACTAGAGGATAGTTGTGTGGTCCATCAGTGCCCCACCACACCCTGGATTTATCCTCTGTTCTGTGAGTCCCTTCTAAGATGGACTGTCCAATAATCTTGCTGGTGGACTTTGGGTCTCCATTATATCCCCTTCATATGAATTTGGATGTATGTTTTTTGGACCTCTGATACCTCTTCCCATTGACACCTCTTGATCACATAGGCTGGTGTGCTTCTTCCATGTGGGTTTTTTTGCTTCCTTGCTAGATGGCCGCTTATTTAACTCCAAGCCTTTAAGACCCTGGACACTGTAGCTTTTGATAGCCGGGCACCATCAGCTTTCTTCACCACATTTGCTTATGCATCCATTTTGTCTTCAGCGATTGTGTCAGGGAGGTGGGTATCATACAGTGCCACATTATTAGAACAAACCATTCTTGTACAGAGATAAGATTTAGGTGGAGGCCCAAAGTCCATCTGCTTCCTAATTGCATTTGCATATCCATACATAAACAAATACACACATATATTTATATGTATATGCTCACATACACACACATATATATATACGGTTTTTATTTTTATTTTTTCCTCCTGCCCTACTATTATGCTTGCCTGTCATTCACCTCTCAGTAATTCCTCTCAGATACAGTTCAATTGATCAAACATGCCCAGAAAAGCTACCCCCTTCTTGCCAGGACTCAATTTTAATCCAATGCATTTGGAGAAAAAGAAACGCTGTCATGGGTGCAGTGTGAGCTGGACAAACATGACTTCCTTGTCACACCCCTTGCAGGAGCCCGCCCACTTTGATCACTTCTGCGAATGGCCCGATGGCTACGTGCGCTTCATCTACCGCAGAGACGAGAAGAAGGCACAGCGCCACCTGAGTGGTTGGGCCATGCGCAACACCAACAACCACAACGGCCACATCCTCAAGAAGTCCTGCCTGGGCGTGGTGCTGTGCTCGCACGCCTGCGCCCTGCCCGATGGTTCCCGCCTGCACCTGCGGCCCGCCATCTGCGACAAGGCCAGGCTGAAGCAGCAGAGTGAGTGCGGGGCCGGGAAGGGTCTGAACGCCCTAAGTTCCCTGCTCCCGACCAAGCTCTCATTCTTTCCTCAGAAGAAGCAGGCTTGGGGTTGGTATTAAGTAATATAAATACTGTTTAATTACTTGTTGCATATAAAAAATAATGCTTAAACTCACTAAAACTCATTGCCCTCGAGTCAATGTTGACTCATAACGACCTCCTGTGGGTTTCCCAGACTGTAACCGCTCACCAGAGTAGAAAACCCGGTCTTTCTCCTGTGAAGCTGCTTGCTGGTAGTTTCGAACTGCCTACCCTGTGGATTCCAGGCCAACACATAACCACTACACCACTGAGGCGTCTTAAATTGGTTATTATTAATTAAGAGTCTGGGTGGAAAATGGTCAAGCACCGAAGCACCAAGCAAAGGTTGGCAGTTAAGAATTCACCCTGGAGTACCTCAGAAGAAAGGCCTGGCAAACTGCTTACCAAAGTTCACACCCTCGAGAACCCTGGAAAGCTCAGTTCTATTCTAACATACATGAGGTTGTCAAGAGTTGTCACCAATTTGATACCAACTTGCTTGGTTTGGTATTATTCATTATTACTAATATTAGAATTTTGATTAATTTAAAAAACTCATATTAGAATGACTATTCCCCCCTCTGGCCTTTGCAGAGAAAGCATGCCCCAACTGTAGTTCCTCTCTGGAACTGATCCCTTGCCGAGGGCACAGTGGATACCCTGTAACCAACTTCTGGCGGCTGGAGGGCAACGCTATATTTTTTCAGGTAGGAGGGTGGAACCATACAATATGAGATTTGTTTTTTCCATCTATCCATGGGAGTCAAAATTCTTACCAGGTGCCTTGGGAACTCTGGACCACACCAAATATAGCTATAATGGCCAGAAATAGTAGCAGGAGCTCCCCCACAGACTTACCTGGCTCGGTCAAATTAGCTCACCTACTATGTGAGCTGTCACCCGACCTGCAAACACCGAAGGGTGAGCGATCGTGAACTAAAGTATAGTTATTGTAGTTCATGTAGAAGGATGAGAGAATTGCAGGTTATCTTTCAAGGTGCCTGTAACTAATGCCGCCGAGTACCCGTGATGCTGGCTGGTCAGCACTGGACTGCTCACTGCAAGGTGGGCAGTGCAAACCCACCAGCCAGTGCGGGGGCAGAAAGGTGAGGCAGTCTGCTCCTGGACACCGCTAATCAATTCACGGCCTCAGACATCCAATAGCCTGTCATTATCACTTGGAATCGACTCAGTGGCAGTGGGGGGTAACATGACTCATGGCTGTCGTATTAGTTTGTGCTTTTTTTCTTTGTCCTTTTGAAAACAAGACAAACTGGAAATCTGAGAAAGGCATCACAGATTTGGGGCCGACATTATTGGGCTTCTTCAGAAGAGTAGACATGTGCTTTATTTCGTCATCAATGCAGGCCAAGGGGGTTCATGACCACCCGAGACCCGAGAGCAAGTCAGAGACTGAAGCTAGAAGAAGCGCCATCAAGAGACAGATGGTCACTTCTTACCAACCCCTGAAAAAGAGAATTAGAGAAGCCGAGGGAATTGAGAGCTGCCATTGTGCTGTGGTTTGTGTGTTATTGCATGTTTTTGTTTGCTTTTCACTATAAAATACGCTGATAATTGCCTGGAATATGAATGCAATGTGTTAACTATAAAAGTTTGATTTTATGTGAAAAGGCTCTCTCTCACAAGACATGTCATTGAATCAGCATTCTGGGTAGAATTTTTAATTCCTTTTTAAAGAAAAGAAAAATTAAAAGCAACTATCTCACCAAGCAGTGATAGAAGATGGATGTGTTATGACATCCAAGTACCATGTCAGCCATCCAGCAGTAACACAGGAATAAATACACCCACACCACCTGCATCATGGACGGAGTCCTTTCAGTTATTTACATGAGAACAGGACAAATTTCTCTGGACAACTTGACCCTGTTTGTGGTTCCCACCTACCAAAGCATGCCAAGCAGACAAAAGTATACCTTCTCCATAACAGGAATGATTCTCGGGCCCAGCCAAGAATCCAAGGGGTTCACACATTTAATGACCAGCAAAACCCTAAGAGGAGATTACAATGATTGAATCTCATTCTTATTTTTGGAAGTTAAAGGGATTTATTAAAGCCAAGATGCATTATGAGTGGCAGAGCAAGAAAACCTTAAGGTCTGAAGCTCATGAATTCTGGGTAGGGGGCCTAAGCTACACATAATTATAGTGCTATAAGAGGAACTATGAACATAAGGCAGGTTCAAGGACAGCATGATTTTAGCATTGGTATTTGCACTAATACAACTAGACACATCAGTTGAAATGCACTTTCATAAATGTTTCTGATTTCAAAGATGGTTGAACAACTCCACAGAACAATGGAACACAATAACTCAATGGCAACTGTCAGGAACAGATTGTTAAAAAGTATTTTGCCCAGTACATTACATCTTTTAGAGTGCTAACACAGAGTTTGATAAAATTTGGTTACAGGTCTACAGTCACAGTCTAGCCACAAAACCTTAATAATAGTGTCAACCTCTAGTTCCACAGGGGAAGAATGACTGTGAACTATGATGGACTAGCTCTTAAATGTGTTAGCCTAAAAATGGCATATCATTTCACTCATATTTCATTGGCCAGATAAGCCTTCATAGAGATTCAAATCTGTCACTTGGGAACCTTAGTCTTTAAATGGGGGCTCTCAGGCCCTTGTAGAGGTTACATAACTTGCTCAATTCATGAGAAATAGAGCTTGAATTTGAACTCAGCCTGATATAGCTCCCAAACTTCGGTTCTCATGAACTCAGTGTAGAGAACAGGACTGTCTGCCACTCAGACCCATCCTGCCTGCCTTCCTCAATCAGTAGTGTGGTGTGGGATGCCTGGCTGAAGAAGCTCAGACTCTGTGACCCCTGGACCACATGCCCCAACCAGCTAGGTACCCAAGCAGTCCAGTGTTCATAACACAGAAACACACACACACCCCCCCCAGAAGTTATCAATAACTTGGTCTGCGCTTGTTACCAGTGAAGTTTACACATATTATATCTATGTATCATTTTTCAGACAGAAGAGCATCGAGACTGTAATGGGCAGTTCAAAAGCATACCTCCTCTGGAAAATCCAGAACAGCTTGCTATTATGACTGACATTGGCTTCCCAATTTCAGCACAGCCTTGCCTCTCCTTCCCAAACTTGGATGCTTACAAAGCTTCCTGTGACCTAGCCACCTTCCAAGAAGACGTCACGCCACCCTTTCAGAAATACCCAAGCCCAAGCATCTACATGAGGAGGCCACCTTGTAGCTACGAATTGGCAGGCCCTGGTTACACACCCTCCAGCCCATACCCTACCCTTTGTAAAGATTCCACCATGAGCCCTAATGACACAGACTGGGTTCATCTGAATTCACTGCAATATAATGTCAATTCCTACAACAACTACGGGAGAAGCTTTGATTTCACCAGTAAACAGCCAGCTCTTGGAAAACTTGGCCCTGGAGAGAGGATTGACCATGCACAGTTCCAGGCCATGCCCTCTTACCCGTATTGTAACTCCGAGCATCCCTGCAGGTTCCTCACGACTCCTTCCCCAGGGGCCTCAGCCCTGCAGACAGTGATCACTACCACCACCCAGGTGTCCTACCAGGCCTATCAGCCCCCGGCTCTGAAACACAATGATGAAATACATGAGGGTAAGAGCCTTCCAAGCTGCAACTATGCTTCTGAAAATGGCCCTGCATCCATCTATCCAGAGGGCTTGTATTTTCCAGGTATAGTCACCAGGGAAGCCTCCCCGACACCTTTGAAAATTCCTGAAGACTGTTTGGCTCTCAGATCCACACTGGCTTTTTCTCAAGAGTCAACTCCGTCCAGGGCAGACCAAGCAGAAACATGGGCGGTATATCCTTCAAGGCCAGGCTCTGCAATCAGTTACTCAGATAAAGTCGGTCCGTTCCTTAGCTATGACATGGAAGACTTTTGAAAGAGAATCTGAAATCCA